AGAAGTGTGATTCAACGAAACTGTACTGGGAGCGTGTACGCTTTAGAAAAACCCAACGGGAACACTTCATGCTATTCTTTTCTTTTTGCCAGCCAACATGGAATTGTTTTGGAAAACTCTGGTACAAAAAAGTGCAAAGCGTGCTAACGTAACTTACTGTGTCTGAAATTTAGCAACCAGCAAATTAAAACTCCAGAGACCTTTAGAGACTTCGTAGTGAGATTTTTAACCCTCATTGATACCAGAATGCCCATAAATAACTTCATCTTGGATCAGAGTCAACAAAGCAATCATGGGAGAAAAGGTCAACTCCTTCCCAAGCATCTTTTATCCGGGATTTACCGCAGGAGAACCACAGTAAACACCGGCCGCCATCGAGGTAAAAAAAAGTATTCCCTGGTGACTCTGCATCCACCGTGCGTTCCATGTCCTGCTTCCCATCTGGGACTCCATGAACAGGACCCAATAACTTGGGGGGGGGGACCCTAAGTTTCCCTTTAACAAGGGCCAAGGCTAAGCAAGCCTCGGCGCCTCTCACTTCCATGAATGGAAAAGTTACCAACTTCGCTCATCCCGTGGAGACAGTTTGGAGATGCCTCGCAGTCCTTTTAACCCGTGGGTGCCCAAACCACCCAAGTTCACTTCCTACAAGCCCGAGAGGGGGCGAACCTGGCTTCCCGGGGACCTCCGCGCACACAGTGAAGGGGACCTCACCCGGGTCTGCGTCCCCCGGGGGTCGGGGCGCCATGGGCCGGACGCCTCAAGGGAGGGCCACACACACACCCAGGCGGCCCCGGGCGCGCCGGTCCCGCGTCCCCGGCCGAGCACGACAGGCAGGCCCAGGGCGGTGCCGACTCCACCGGGCCCGCCGCCCCCTCGAGCCCGCGCCGCCCGGGCCGCTGACCCGGGGCTAGCCCCGTTCGCCCGCGTCCCCGCGTGCCAGCCTCCCGCGGCCCTCGCTACACTCACCGGCCCGCGCGCCCGCAGCGCCGCTCAGGCCCCGGCTGCCCTGGCCGTCGCGCCCGGCGGCTCGGCACCGTCTCCGAACCGAACCGAACCGAGCACGGAGATCCGCCTGTCCGATTCCTCCGCGCCGCTACCGCCGCCGGGGCCGGACCGCCGCCTTTTCTCCTCGGCCTCCAACCGCCACCGCCCTCCTCGCGCGCCCCGCCCCGCCCCGCCCCCACGGAGCCCCGCCCACCCCGGCCCGGCCGCGGGCAGGCCGGGGCGGGCGGGGCGCGCGCACGCACGGCCGGCGGGGCGCGCGCACGCTGCCCTCTGCTGGGGACCGCGCGCGACCCGGGGGGGGCGGACCCGGAGAACTCGCGGTGGAGCGTCGTTGTGAGGCGCGTCCCCGCCTCTCCCGGCGGGGCTCCGGCAGCACGGCTCCCACTGTGCTCCCAGCCCGGCTCGGCTTTCGGACCTTGCTTTTCTGGAAGGGATCCCAGAGGACCGGTGGCACTGTGCAGCGCGCAGGCTCCCGAGGAGCGCGACCCGTCCTCCTCCTCCTCCTCCTCCTCTTCCTCCTCCTCCTCCTCCTCGCTCGCCCCGCGCGGCTCGCAGCACTCGGCAGGAAATAAATAGGTCAGCTCCCCGGTTGTCTAGGGTAACGGCCACCACCTCACGTGCCCGAGCCCTGTGACTCGGTGACCGCTCGGCGCTGTGACCCGTTTCCCCTTGTAGGGCTCTGCTGTCCCGTCGGCCCGCGGAGGACGCCTTCCGTGGGCGACCCACGCGGCCTGCAGAGGGCGCGGCACGGCTTCTGGGAAATACCTCGGGGACGAAAAGCGCGGGCACCCTGGGCTACACACGGCGTCTGTAGGCGCCCCCGTTACTACCGCCAGGCCCGGGTGGGAGGCGGAGGGACAGTGATGTCACCCACGCCCACCCCGTCTGCAGGCCTCTTGCCCACTCGCGTCTCAAAACCATCTGGAAGGAAATGGGGGCGGGGCAGAGGTGAGAAAACCCTGTTGTGTGGTCCTTCTGCAGACAGCATTTTTACCCCAGCTGCTGGAAACGATGGCTCCCACGGTTCACCAACCTGACTCTCAGACCTTTCCACACACATAACAACAGCAACACAAAACTCTGGGGAACTTGGACTAATCACACTGTAGAGGTCCTTTTCTTTCTTTTTTTAAATGAAATTTAGGTTTTTTGGAACGTTCAGTGCGTTTGTGTGGGGTGCATAAGAAATTGTGTATTGCTCTTTTTTTCCTTTCTTTTTGCTTTCTTTTCTGTTTTGTATGGTTTGGCTATAGGCAGGCTCTTGTCCTCAGCCCAAAGTGTGAGAACCAAAGGGGCCAGGGTAAGAAAAGTGAAGCGGGCAGGTGAAATGGAGAAAGACTTGCTTCTACTCTGCCCACGGTCACAATTGAGTCACACACCCTTCCATTACATCCCCTTCTATAAAATAAGGGGGCTGCAGCAGGTAATTCCAATGGCTCTCTGCAGCTTCAACATCCCAGAACTAAATGGTTGTATTAATTGTACTTTGAGGCTTTCTGCTTTCCTAAATCACCTAGTTGACACTTGGTCACTGTCTTCCAGCCTCAAGCTGAGTGGGAGTCATTGCAAGCCAGGAACCTCTGCCCTTCCGTAAGTGGTAACCAGAGACTCAAATTTCCTCCAAAAAACCCACATTTCTTCAAATCTGCCCTCTGTAGTATACATGGAGTTTGGTCTAGACTTGTGGAGCAAAGCTACCATTTTTGTGGCTTAGCCACCCAGGGAAGCAACGGGTACTTTAAAATTTAAAGCAATAAAAAAAAAAAAAAAAAAAAAAGCAGTCGCAGGTTTGACCTGTCTACACTCTTTAAGAGAGGAGCCTTTCCCCATTCTTCAGTTACACTCACATCAACTTAAGAAAAGGACATAACCTATTTTTCTAGAGGTCATTCTCATGCGATAAAAATGATGAAAACTAGGGGACCTGGAAGGAAACTCTGTAAAGTTTTTGCTGAGCAAGCAGGAGAACCTGCGTTTCAATCCCAGCACCCATGTAAAAAGTCAGGTCTAGTGGCATGAGTATTTAATTCCAGCGCTGGGTAGGCAGCGGACTAGCAGTGAGAGGCCCACTCAAAAACTAAGGTAGATGGTTCCTGAGGAATGGCACCCAAGGTTGACCCTTGGCTCCACACACCTACACAAAAACTGGCTATAAGAACACCACAGTCATAAAGCCTGCACACAAGGCTAAATTGTAAGAGAAGTTTTCAGAGGAAATTGAGTTGGCCAAACAAATCCTGACAAATTGTTCAGTGTCAAGGCTAATCCCACCGAAATTTAAACAGGTTTCCTTGCCCAGTTTGACCACCAGCCTGGATTTGGGTAGCCCACGGCCAAAGCAATTCAAAAGTCAAGACTAAAGTTTAGGTCATGTGCTCATTAAGGAAAGCGTCATTGGCCAGAGACAAGTGTGAGTGGGTAGGGGCAGGTTTGCAGCTGTGAAGTCATGAGACAGTCGGAATTACCAACTGGGACTGTGGTAGGAAATGCCATTCTTCACAAGCCAGTTTGAATCACCTCATACCAGTATCTAAAATTTAACAGCTGCAATTGTATTTCCAATACAGATTCAGCTGAACTATGAAAAATAGGATAGCATCGAATTGTATGATAATTTAGAAGAAACCTCCCAACTTTATAGCTACAAGCTTTAAATAAGTAATCAAAGGAATTTAAATCCACCTGAAATGTTGGCAAATAGAAGACTCAGGTTTTAATCCATATGTACCACAGATCTCTTAAACCATATTGTAAAAATAAACGTGTATCTCAATGCTCAATGTTTTGAGTTAATAAGATTATACTTATTAATACAGTGCCTAGTATACAGACTATATATTTATTCAGTAAATGAATTGCTCTGCCCTCTCCCCAAAGCTGAGCCTGCAAAGTGTTGCATGTCAGGTGGCTAGCATTTGGTAGTACTCAGTGTCTGGGGTGGGGGAGGATAAGGTATAAACAGGTGAACTCAAATGGAAATGATAAAGTCATTCTTTTTCTCATCCATCTAAAATATCTGTGTAACTTTACACTATCAGTGCTTGGTAGGGAAGTAGTATTTAATTTCTGAGTATAAATTTTTCACTTAGAAAAAAATGATATACATTAAGTAGCTAGGAGAAGCCAATTTTAACAACCCATAAGTGAACTCAATTCAATTTTCAGCCCTCCTGTCCTCGGTTGGAGTGGTAGCAAAGACAGATGCCACCAGCTAGTGCTGTGGTGTGACAAGTGAACTCAGAGAGCTGCTGGCAGCAGACAAGCCCTGTTACCAAGTTGTTCTAGTCAGCCTCCACTTCACATGACAGTAGAGGAAATAGTAGCTCCTTGTCTTCTGATTCTGAAAATCCAGCTAATTCCAAGAAAGCCATATGATGCTTTTGAATTTTCAAAAACCCCATGTGTGCATGGCTGGGGGCGGGAGGGAATCAGTCACCACAAAAAAGCTACGTCTTTTTAGTGAGCCGTACAAAAGATAATAAAATAGAAGTTTGTACTAATTTCTAGGAATAGCCTGGTTCTTAAACCACTGGAGTGTCACTTTCCTCTAAAATGGATTTCCTGTGCTGAATGGCTGACTTGTTAATTAGCCCTCAGTCCCTTGGGAAATTCCCTTCTGTATGACAGACTCTAAGACTGCTGTGACCCGTGCTTCCTGGTAGTTACATATCTATCTGTCTAACCTCACCTTGATATCTCTAGGCCCTATAATTTGCACATTGTAATTTTACCAATAGGATATGTCAAAGGTCAGTACCCCCTTGATTCAAAAGACTGACTTTTTCCCCCTTTATCATTTTTATGAAGCAAGTTGTCATTCTGGGAAGCCCACATGATACGTATGTTTTGTAGAATCGGAGGGACACCAGTGTTGACGGTGGGGACAAATAGATCCTAGATGAGGAGACAGAAACAAAAGACACTGTCTTCCCGTTTACGGCGGTGCTGAATGGTAGACTAGAAAGACAATTTTTAATGTTATGGACAGTTACCTCTGAAAGTCATCTGTGGGTCCAGAGAGATTCCCAGCACCCACATGGTGGTTCACAACCATCTGTAATGAGATCTGGCACCCTCTTCTGTGTACATAATAAATAAATCTTAAAAAAAAAAAAAAGAGAGAGATTTTCTAGTCGTTTTACATATCAGCCACAAATTCCCCTGTCCTCCCTCCTCCCACGGGCCAGCGTTCCCCAATCCACCCCCCACCCCCCATTCCCACCTCATCCAAGGCAAGGTCTCCCCTGGGGAGTCAGCCCAGCCTGGTACATTCAGTTGAGGCAGGTCCAATCCCCTCCTCCCTGCACCAAGGCTGCGCGCAAAGTGACTCAGCATAGGTCCAAACACCCTAACTGTCATAAGGCAGCTCTTAACCCCAACTCCAGGGCAGTCAAGATCCTCTCCTGGCCTTCTCTGTCACTTCATTTACATGCATAATCCCCATCCCACCCAACAGAACACACCTACACACATCATTAAGAGTAATCTTTTTAAGAGTTACTTGTATTCTGATAGTATTTTGCTGAATTTGTGACTTAGGGGATGAAGGCCTTATTTGTGCCATTTGATACACAAGTTGATTTAAATAACAAACCATGCTACAATAGAGTTCTAACAAACCTCGTAACAAATAAACATATTGTTTCCCACCACAGAAAGTCCCCGAGAATATTAAATATTAAAATCCCATTTAAGGCCGGGCAGTGGTGGCGCACGCCTTTAATCCCAGCACTCGGGAGGCAGAGCCAGGCGGATCTCTGTGAGTTCGAGGCCAGCCTGGGCTACCAAGTGAGTCCCAGGAAAGGCGCAAAGCTACACAGAGAAACCCTGTCTCGAAAAACCAAAAAAAAAAAAAAAAAAAAAAAAAAATCCCATTTAAGCTTTAAAACATTTTCCTTGTTTACTACAAAAGTCCATCAGTATATGATTTTTATGGATAATGTGTGCTAATTTCCCCTAATGAATATTCATTAATACTTTATTAATATTAAACATTCGCCATAATGACCTGCTGATGAGACAAAAAGCTGTGGATTCTACTGTAATGCAGAAGCACTGGGAAATGAACACGCAATGCAGTTGGAGTCAGCCACTGGAAAACAAGCAGTTTTGAGAACGCACTGTCACAGGGGATCACACTGTCTTGTGCTGACTGTAGACACCACACATTGCTCTGACCTCCCCCAACCTGTTTGCCTCTGGCTGTGTGACCTGTGTTCTTGGCCCAGCTCCTTTGGGCATGGTTACTGCTGGCTGCCTCCTGCACTGGTCTGAGCCAGGCTGGCCCTGGTCCACTTCATCAGTTGTGAGCCTCTGTGTCACAGCCCTGCTCTCTTTCGCTCACCCAGCCTCTTGTCCTTCCTTCCTGTAAGTGAGGAAGAGAGGCATGCTGAAAGGCTCTGAAGGCCTGCTGGCTGCATATGGTGGTTCTCATGCCTGTAATTCTAATACTCTGAAAGCAGGGGAACTGTTGGGTCATTAAAGCTAGGCTGCCTTACAAAGTAATTTCTAGGCCAGCCTGGGTTACAGGCTGAAGCCCTGTCTCAAAACAAACAAGCAAAATAATAATTAAAAGGAACCCATTTGGAGAATTTAAAAAAAATAATTGGAGCATAAGATAATTAAGTCCTCTAAAGAAAAGATGTTAAATAGATATATACTACTTTCGAATTTGGATACAATTGTATTTTCCAAAATTTGAAGCAAGAGTGCATGAAATAAAATTCACATACTGGAAACTGGAGAGAAGGATCAGCAGTTAAGAACACTTGCTGCTCTTCTACATGACAACTATAAATCCAGTTCCAGGGAATCTAATGCCCTCTTCTGACCTCCATAGGCACCAGGCACACACACTATGCACATAAAGAAACCCAGGCAAAATACACACAAAATGTTTAATGAAAAATTCATATGCTAGGCATTAATATCAAACATAAGGGGAAAGAAATGAAAGGTATATCAAAGTTTTTAGCAAACTCCCTTTTTAAGGTTAGCATTTGATTCTTTAGTGAACTCGAGCTAATAATATGACTCAGTTGTTAGGACACCATACTACCAGGTGAGAAGCAGCTGAGTGGTCAGTGTGTGGAGTGTGAAGATGAATTCCCAGCCAAGGTGCCCACAGATTGGCCCAAATTCTCCTGCAACTTGACAAACTCCTCAGGTGCCATGAATTTCCACGTTTGCCTTGCCTCTTTTGGTATTGTTTTTTTCTTTATATATTTTCTCATAGAGGGAAGGAAGTATCCAAGGACATGATTTCTGGATTACATGGCAAGTGTGTGTTTAGCATTATCAGAAGCAACTAAAGTATGATTCTACAATGTACTATTTTGTCTTCTCACAGAAACATGAAAATGTCAGTAATTCTCCACTGCCATGATTAGACACTGTTAGATGTTTTTTTTTTTTTGACATTAAACATCATAATATGGGGGTAATGCTATCTCAATTTGATTTTAATTCAAATTATATTAATAAGTAATGATGAGTTATTGCATGTTCTTATTTGGTGTTCGTATCTTTTTTTTGGTGAAGTCATTTCATTTTTAGCTTCCTCATTTTTTGTGGGTCAGTTTTGAGATTCATATATCCTGGATGAAAGGCATTCATTAGATGTGTTTTGAAATTTTACTTCTAGTCTATAGTTAGTTTTTCATTTTCTTAATGATTTATGAGAAGCTAAGTTTTTAGTTTTGATGAAGTTCAATTTAATCTCTAGGTTTTCTTTTTTAAAAGAATTCCTTAAAATATGTTTATTGAAGAAACCAAATTGCATAGCACACATTGCAATTTGTTGATGTGTTTCTAAGTTTCTACAAATCTCTAGGTTCCTCTTCTCCCTTTCTTCTTTTTAAACCCTTTAAAAATTTTATTAAAATAATCCAACTGTGCTAACGTGGCTGCTGGCTCAGTAAAGATCTTGCAGACATACTATATGCACACACATATAAATGAACATAGAACTAGGTTGTTAGTCTAACAGACTCTCCCTTAATGTAGAGATTGCTGGTTGCCTATCTGTGGGGGGGGGATCTCTCACCCCCACATTTCCCTAGAGTACTGTTGAGTAGAAGAAGAAGCAGGAAATATTAGTTACAAGCACAGAGGAGAGAGAAAAAGATAGAAAATGCAGGATAGCCTCAAGAGGACCTGGGTCCTAATCCATCGGGCTCTGACTGTCTCTGCCCTAGGGTATTTAAAGGAATGCCAAGGGGTGGCGCAAGAGGAGGTCTGCACAGGCAAGTGCGGACTATCTCAGACACCTGCACTCAGGCCCGTGGTCCAATCATCCTCTTTATGCAGACCTGCTGGGTAAAGCCACTAGGAAACCTAAAAATGGGCTCCAATACCTATCATGCATATATTTGCTGAAAATTGGGAATTAGTCCTAGAGACTTAATGAAAATTACTTATTAGCAAAAATATTCCATAGGTTTCCTCAGCTAGAGGCCATAATGTCTGATAATTAGACTTTGGGAGATATTAGCAGCCACTGAGGATGATGGCTATTGATATTTTTATTTAAGCAACAAACGCTATAATGAAATATTTCTCATTCTTGAAATTTTAATTTATCATATTTTAAATGACATTCTAGACAACTTATTGGACAGACTAGTCATCTCTATTTTTCTGTTTTTCTCATGAGGTCACTGCAGTTTTGAGACAGGGAATGACTTATCTAAAATCATAGGCAATCAAGAAGTATTCCCTTATCTTTCTGAAGTGTGTCAACCTTTTTCTTCTGATGCCAGTTTACAAAAAAATAGAATTACTTGAGACACTGGCATTTATTTATTTATTTATTGCTTTTTCGAGACAGAGTTTCTCCATGTAGTTTTGGTGTCTGTCCTGGATCTCGCTCTGTAGACCAGGCTGGCCTTGAACTCACAGAGATCTGCCTGGCTCTGCCTCCGGAGTGCTGGGATGAAAGGCATGCGCCACCGCTGCCCGGCTTGTTTTTATTTTTATGGATACCATGAATTACGTTTTCCCACATTCCGTTGTCCTGCACAGAGTAAAACTTTAACTCAAGTTGTGATGTGATCTTGCAGTTTTCATTGAGTTCATTTCTGTGTTAGTTTTTATCATGTGCTTTGTTTTTCTGCTCTGACGTATTCTGTAGTGAATGATCTGTTGGCACTTTTTTGATAGCTTGTTGGTGTGCCTTATAAATCCTTTTAATTATCTGAAAGGAATTTTTCCATCAGATGTAATAAATACGGATTTTCATTAGTCAATTAGCAAAATGTTAACTCCGTTGTGTATAAACTTTAACTGTTGTCATTTCTGGCTTTGAAAGACACTGAGGAAAAAATAGCATTGTGGAGAATAGTTACTGTTTGTTCCCCAACTACTTCTTCCTTTATTCTGAGGAAGGAAACCTGTTTCCCTGGAAACTGTTCCTCTATCCATGTATTCCCTGTCTGTGGGAAATACGGAGTACTCCAGGATTAACCGGCAAGTTGTTCTGATCGTTGTCCCTGGAAGCATTGCTTGGGCTGTTCATTGATTTGAGAAGGGTGTAGTGAAGGGGCAGTCTTCCCCTGATGAAATTGAGATGTGAATCTTGACAACTGTCAGTGATCATATTACTGCCACATGGAAAGATCCTGGCTTAGTTTGAGAAAAAGTTGGTCCCGAGCAGAGACAGCAAGTAAAGGGAAAAAATGAGAAAGAGATCTGGCATACTCAAGGTCCTGGTATTATTGGTTCTTGAGAACCAACACTGATGTTGCCTTTCTGATGCTTTAGATCGGTGGTTCTCAACCTTCCTAATGCTGCGACCCTTTAATACAGTTGCTTATGTTGTGGTGACCCCTAACCATAAAATTATGCTATTGTTACATAAATCATAATGTAAAAATATCTGATATGTAGGATATCTGCTATGGGCCCCCAAAGGGGTCTGGACCCACAGGTTGAGAACCACTGTTTTAGATGTTTATCCTCTTCTTCAGAGGTAAGATAAATTTACTTCCCTTTTCTATGTGGGTGCAGCTTGGATGTCTGTACTTGCAGGTCCTTACTGAGATATGCTGATTTTAAGCTTTGTTGTGCAGAACCTCAAGTGTAACATGACTTCCTTCACAGA